TTTTATTAATATATGCCTTGTGTCATTACGCAATCTCATCGAATGGTTTTTATTTCGTAATAGCATCACTAAAGTTTTTATTTCAAGGTCAACTTATGATTTTGGTAGACCAGAAAATCTGATGCTACTCAAAACTTTGGATTGTGCAATTCAGCCATAAGATATGTAGTCGAATCTACTTTGCACACACTATCTGAACTAAGATGTATTCTCACAACTTCCCCTTCATTGAAATTTGTCATATAATATACTCATTTATAGAGTCCCCCACCCTCAGTGTTGTTGCAAGAATTGCACGATTTTGCATAAGTTCAAATCCTTTGGTGACTTATGAAACTCTAGATACGTGCTCTTAACAATTGCAACTATTGAATCCCCTGAAGTGTGAATTAGAAAAGGTTGTCAAATAATATGATTTCAAAGAATTCGACATATTTTGCAATTGCATGCTCATAGTCAATCTCAAAACTCTACAATCTGACCACAAATATGAAGAGTTAATCATAGCATTGATGACATTTTGTCTGCTTCCTTGGGGGACGATGAGTAATATTCGACGGGAGTCACCACCAAAAACCAGGGGCGGGCAATTCGGTTTATGATTCAGTTCGGTTAAAAAAAACTATACTTTTATATGTATACTTTGGAACAAGACTCCTTTGTTGCGAGCACGTCTTCAATCTCTTTGCCGTAAGACTTAGTGACTACGGGGTGGTGCTCGGCTTGATAACCCTCTTCCGTGCCTCCATTGTTGCGAGCACGTCTGCATCTCTTTGTTAAGATGGCAAGATGTATACGAAGATGGACCTACAAAAGGGTTACTACCAACTACGAATAGTGGAAGGGGATGAGCCGAAGACTGCATGTGTTACATGTTATGGCTCGTTTGAATGTTTAGTCATGCCCTTTGGACTAATCAACGCACCAGCAATGTTCTGCACACTCATGAAAAAGATCTTCCAATGCACTCTTGGCTTGAAACCACTTGACTTCATTCAACAATTGACTCATTCTCTCGCTTACATGTATTTAATGTGAGGTCGTATTATATTTGTTTGATGTAACTAAAAAAAGGATGACACCCCATCCCTGAGGGCCCCCCAACACCGACCGGACGACACGATGGGAGGATGTAAATTGGACTATAATCACAATCTGACAGATAGAGAGTGGGGCTCCGTCCCCGGTACTTGCAGAGGCCCTATGCATTTTTAGCATGGTAACCTCTCATCGTAGTTGCCGGGATTCGAACGCGGGACCTAACCCTTGTGGCACTCCCTCGCTACCAGTTGAGCTACGCCCACCGGTATTTGTTTGATGTAACTAAAATTAAGTAATTAACATATTCTTTTTTAATGAATTTTATCATATTCGTTTAAAATTAATATTATTTCTTTAATGTAATTTTAATTAATAAATTCTTAATTTCATATGTGCATTTAAAAAATTAAGTTCAAGTAAAAGTTATAAAAAAATGTAATTTGATACTAGTATATGCTATTCAAGAATAATTTAAAATAATTCTGCACAAAATAAAATATAAAAATAAATAAATGTCATTCTAGGTGTAATCTACTTCGGACTTAAAAAAACTTATGTTATGAATATCAAAATCATGTATTTTAGTGTTGGTATATTTTATTTTTTGTACACGCAATTCAGTGTAAACAAATCATATAGTTTTATATATTTTAGTATTTTACATTAATAATATTTCCTCCGGTTTTTAAAAGTTGCAACATTGAGATTTCTGTACTATTCACATACTTAACTATGACTACGATTTTCTAATAGTATACATAATCAAATTATTATGTATAAAATGTTATTAAATTTATATTAAGGTAAATTTTCAAATATTAACTTTTTTAATGTTTACTAATAAGTAATTAAATATAAATAATGTCAAAATTGTGTGTTGGTGAACATGAAAGTCAAACTGTTGCGACTTTTAAAAAACGAAGGATGGTATAAGATTTTTATTAAATTAGTGGTGAGTTAGAGCCTATCATGACATTTATTTGTTTCATATTTTATTTAGTGTAGAATTATTTAATAAAAATTATTTGGATTGGGTTTTATATTTAATTGCATATCTCAAAATAAATATTTTATCATATTCTCTAACTATTAAATTGGTACACTATTGCACTTAAATATATATCCCGTCTATATTGAATACTCGTAAAGGAAGCATTGTACGGTTGTACCAACGGTTGAGAGTAGCCCAATGCTCTGCGTGTGCAGTAGATTAGTTCAAGTAGGTCGATGGTGTTTGATCCATTGCTACTCCATTTTTTTTATACTACCTCCGTCCTGCCGGAAGGTTCCCATGGTAAAACAGCACGGTTATTTAGGTGATAATTAAATAAAGTACTTCAGGTATATTTTGAGAAATAATTTTAATAGGTATATATTATAATGTGTTAGTATTAATAATTGTGATGTTATAAATGTATTATTTTTAATATTTAATGACTAATTTGTCACTCAAGATTGTTAATTATTTCCTAAAAGGAAAAATGGGAACCTTCTAATGGGACGTCCAAAAAAGAAAAGTGGGAACCTTCTAACAGGACGGGGGGGGAGTATTTTATAGCACACTCTAATGAGATAAACATAAAATTGTGGATGACATGGAGTGGCCCGGTGCATTTCGTATACCGTGGTATCACCCCACGGTGAGCATTGTGCTCCTACACCCAAAACGACGTAGTTTTGCACAATTTTAAAAAAAATCGCGTGAACAGTAACGCGTGAACAGTACACGTGTGAACAGTAATTGCTTTTTGTCCCAATAGTATGAATGATGTAACTCGCATGTAAAGATATGTAACTCACGTTATTGATCAATGTAACTCAAGTCCATTCGAAATGTAAGTTATCAAATACATAGTATAAGAAATAAAACATTGATTTCAATGTAAACAATGAAAAAGAGAGTTTAATTGCATAATTACTTTATGTAAACCGTGAATATGTTTGATTTTTAATATCATGACCTGATAAAGGATTTTAAAGAAAATCATTTTTTTTGTTTGAATACCAGCAGTTGTTTTTTCATGTAACTCATATTATTACAAATGTAACTCACGCTTCAGAAGATGTAACTCGCTTCTGAAAAGATGCAACATTGCAACTCTTGCACATGAAGATGTAACTCGCATATTATAAAAACATGTAATTCCATATGTATTAATTAATACTCCGTATACATATAAACCAATTACTCCATATGCACCGAAACCAATTATTCCATAAAAGAGCAGTAAGCTTCCCTTCCCTGATTCTTTCCACAAAATCAAAGAGCACCTATTCTTTAGCCGCTAACGGAGCTTTCACTTCAAGGCTGGGGGTGTCAATTCACGATTCAAAGAAGCGAACAGAGATTTTTTTTGATTGGTTGGGGACTGTGCTGCACGAATCTAGATCCAACTGGGGCTCCCAGATTTTCCATGTCTCTAAATTGAATCTGCGATGGAGGAACGGCCCACCTAACCGTCGGGAAGGGAGAAGATGACTTTTTTTTTTAAATTAAAACGGTTCCGCTAAGGGACCGGCACACCGTGCTCACTGTGGGCCGATCCCACAGTATAACCTGAGGGCCCGGTGGATGACCTATAATTGTGATGTGGCAAAATCGGATGACATGACAAAAATTACACAAATAACTTTAAAGTACCCTTGAAAAAAAAGATTTTAAACTACCCCTATTTGGGAAACGTCCTTCGCACACCTTCTAAACGACTAGGCGCACCTTTTTTATTCCACTAATGGACTGATTTGTCCTCCTAGAGTTTTGCTCACGAACCTAATGAAGCGCACCACTTCTAATGCCTATCAAATTTGTCCTCTTTCCTAAATTGAATCCGGATTTACATATTAATTAAAAAAGCATAATGCACTCATTGCCTTTTGTTTAACTTCTTTCCTAAAAATTAGTCACGTTTAATATACTTAGATTTTGTAACATAGTATAATACTCTCATACATACTCCGGTAACAAATTTCAACCTAACTACCATAATAATATTATCTTCTTATACAATGGAGGATGAATATGAAGATTACCTAGACAACTCTTAATATTTTATTTGTCTAAAAAAATTTCATATTAAATATAAACAAAGTGATTTTTTAATCATGTTTAAATTTTGCAGTGCAATGAATATTTTCAATTCAACATGTTGTGTCTCATTCCAGACTATATTATATCCGACTTAAATATTAGTAACAATGTACTAGATTAGATCAAATCAGATTAGAAATAGATGAATCTAAATGCTTAGACTTTTTAGAGAAAAAAAATTTGTTCTTGAAAGTCGAGAAAGTATATTTTAGTTATTATTTTAAGAGGTTTTCCATAAAGTATTACTTCAAAAAATCTATGGACAAAAATGTGATTATAAGTTACTTTTTTTTTTTTTTAAGTACATAAATCTGATAAATGCTCAAAATTTACCCACACAATCTGAGACGGCCCAAATGGTTATTCAGATACCGCACTTTACATAGCAAGGTAAGATCGGAATACATTGTCACACAAGGTGTTTCCTTTTTACCCACAACCATAACTTACATCGGGTGTGGCAACATCAGAGTGAAATGGCATTTCTACCCTCTCCCTCACAAGGCATCGGCTTTCACCGTTTTCAAAAACTAGCACCTTTCCAGGGGGGCATTCAGCTTTGTCCCTTTTCTTGCCAACCCCAATTAAGCAGCTGAAGCTGCAGATTGGCGATGTTAGGGCAGTTACGTCTATTCATAAGACGGATCTCAAACCCAGCCAATGTTAAAGCAGATATAACCCCAGCAACAGTCAATGCCACCTAGAAAACATGTCACCCTTCCTGATGCACCTTTCGCCTCTTGTTGGCTGGACCCGCAGGCATGCTTTGCCGATTGCTCCGTTCGGGCTCCACTTATCACTCCGTTTTGAGAAACCGTGACTGGGGAAGAAGAATAAGGTCGGGTTGGGTATGGGGGGAGTAGGAGATCGTTGCTTTCTTCTGCCGTGTCACCTACAAAAGCAATGGCCTCTTCTATAATGCCCATATTGTCCCCCTTGTACTCTTTCAGCTTCGTGAGCAACTTGTCCTGGGAATGGGCAATTCCAGCCAAGGCTTCTGCCTTTTCATACACATGTTGCTGGTGTAGTGCCTGCAATGAGGAAACTTGGACTTCAAGATTTTCAATAGCCTCTCGGATACTCAAAAGGCAATATGTTTCTTCATCTTCTTCTTCTTTGTCATCTTCTTCTTCGGCCTCTACCTCCTCTAAATCCATTCCGGTGCTTCCTTTCCCCAAATATCTTCCTTCCTTTCTACCATAACTGATGCAATTAGTTATCTTGAACCTCAATTCCATTATTCTGCCTAGCACCATCTCTACTTTACCCTCGTCCATTTCTCTAGTTTTGGGAAAAGTTCCGAAAAGTTGGAGGCTATGGAGGGTTGCAGTTCGAAACGAGGGTTCTTTGTTTTCCCTTATTCTAACAGATATTCTTTCTTTCTTGAGATAAGGGTCAGATAGGGTCTCGAACTTGAAAAAAAATGTCAAATAAGGCCATATTTAGGATGCTCTGTCCGGCCGACGCCATTTGGGGTGGTTCCCGGTAGAATTTTTTGATGAAATTTTTTGAGAATCTTATTCATTAAGTCTAGTTTACTCATATCAAATTTGAACTAAAACTTTAATCGAGAAGGCATTCAAATGAATTCTTAAAGATAACTGTACCGTTAAAAGCGCAGTTATCTTCATGAATTCATTTGAATGCCTTCCCGATTGAATTGTTAGTTCAAATTTGATATGAGTAAACTAGACTTAATGAATAAGATTCTCAAAAAAATTCATCAAAAAATTCCACCGAGAACCACCCCAAATGGCGTCAGCCGGACAAAGCATCCTAAATATGGCCTTATTTGACATTTTTTTTCAAGTTCGAGGCCTTATCTGACCCTTATCCCTTCTTTCTTTTATTATTTGTATATATGTCTACGCTGAGCCTGTATAGAAACAACAAAACAATGGGATGTCTAGCCGGTAGCCCGGTAGGCCAACAACCCAGATCTGTGATTATAAGTTACTATGTGTAAGTTTTATAATCACTATGATGTAACATTTTAATACAATTATAGTCACTAAAATTACCATAATCACATTTTTATCCACAACTTTTACTTTGTTTCTTACGACGCGGGGGGAGGGGGGTGAGGGAAGCCTGGGATAAATAGGGCAGAAACTCGTTCCCTGGAGTTTAGGCCTGAAAAAAATGGGTTCAGGTTGGGCTCGGGCCGGACCTTTTACTATTTTTTTGCCCATTCTGTGTGGCCCGGATCGCAAAAATGGGCCTAACCGGTGATTACGACATGGTCTTACTATCACAACGCTAGTGTTACTGGATGGGATATGTCACTTCTTCATCGAATTAAACAATTTAGAGAATGTCGTAACATTATAAGAGAATATGTTAGAATTGTATTGGATGATTGATATATCTTATATATAAAAACATGAATGTTTTGTTTTTCGGCCTTTTTATTCCAATATTACTAAAATTAATGAAAAGACAAAAATGTAACTTGTTTTAAATTCTTACCAAAATGTGACTAAAAGTCAATTGTTTCTTATATTTAATTATACATTTATTATTTTAATTAGCTGTAAATAGTTTCCAGCCACCAGCACCTACGTGGCCGCCCGACCACAGCATCGCCGTCGCCGGCACCTCCACCTCCGCCAGCACCTCCGCCGCCCCCAGTCACTATCTTAGTGACTCCGGCCATAGTGACTGCCCGTCACCGGTTGTAGTGATTGCCTACCGGCCATAGTGACTGCCGCCGCCACATCAGTGACCGCCGCCGCCTCGTTCAGTGACTGTCGTTACCCTTATCAGTGACCGTCGCCGTCCCTCTTAGTGACTGTCGCCGCCTCTCATAAGTGTCTGCTGCCGCCGCCCCCTAGCCGGTGACTACCGCCCCACCCTCAAACTAGTCACTACGCACCAGCCCGGCCCTATCGCTGCACAGCACAATGACACTGCCATCCCACGGTGACACCGCACCGCCCTAGCGCCGCCATCGACCGCGAACCACCACCCTGGCCCCCAGCCACCTCCCCTACCCAATCTGAGTCCCCATCCCGACCCAAGCTCCCACACCCAGTCCCAGTCTCATCTACTCGGACCTCCCTTGCCCAACCACTCCCCATCCGCCAAACGACTCACCCCAGCCCACCACATTTAGAAAAAAAATCAAAATCCTTCAAATTGGATCAGGAATTTCAATTATTGGGCGGTGGAGGCGAATCTACAGCGGCTAGGTGGCGCCTGCTCGAGCGACGACTGCGAGAAAGAAAGGAGTGGAAGAAGAAAAGAGTATGGCAGCTGAAGAGGCGGGACGGCAGTTAAGGGCGCGCGGAGAGGAGCAGCGGCAGCCTGTGCGGCGAGGAGCGGCGGTCTGACCATGCGGAGATGGGCTCATACTCTATCCCGCTGGTTACCTTGATCGTTGATGAAAAGCTAAGATGGGCGTAGATGTTGTCGCGGGTCGCGTAAGATGGGCGCAAGTTCACGCTCAAGTCATATTTTTGGGAAAATCCAAAACTGGAATCGTTTTGTCTTTTAAAAGGCTAGGGGTTATACCCGTGCCATTTTTTCTACTCATTAAAGGCTAGATAGGCTTGACCCCCAATTAAACAACTAATACTAACGCTTATGGGCCAGCTGGCCCAACAAACAATTAAAGAATCCTGAACAATTTCAACTAATCGGGCTATGTCCTAGGCCTGGTCCGGCCCATGCTCGGGTCTAACGGGCCGATAGTATTGGACTTGGACCATTATCCCATCAAATTAGATAGAGAAAAGTGTCAAATAAGTCCCCCTATTATTACGAAAATATCAATTAAGCCCACGAACTCAAATATCACTCAATTAAACCTAAACGAGTCAAATTGTCTTTTTTACAGGTAACCTCCCGATATCCGATTAATTGCTTTGATTTTATTTTTACGATTGGAGTACTTAATTGGGTGTATTTGAATTGGTGGATTTAATTGACATTTTTCTAATAGTAGGGGAATTTATTCGACACTTTTTCCAATTAGATATTATATTAAATCTGAAAAGTCAAGTTCAAATATACTACGGAGTAAGAAATATGAAATACGGAGTAGATACCATGATACTAAAATGATTTAAATAGATTGCGTTAACAATGCATAAAAACCATCCATAAATAAATGTACTAGTATAAAACCATTAAATAGGGAGGCAGGAATAATTAAAATAAGAACACATGGTAACGTAACGTTTCTTTAATTGGTATAATGTGGTCGAATTCGTTTTAGTTGAGTTTAATTTCTTCTCCTTCTTCCATCAATTGCTGTTGCCATTTCCATGAATTTCTCTAGCGGCCACCCCCATAGTCTTCTTCTTCTTCCACTCTGTGTTTTTAAGCCCGGCATACATTTTACGAAGACCGGCAAGCCGCTGTGACTCTTGATATATAAGGTCATTTGTGGAGGTATTCTGGCTGAGGATGATCGAAAGTCCGTCCTGGTAATTAGGCAAATCTTCGACCATCATTTGCCAGAACAAGCTGCCGGACGCCGCACCTCCGGTCTTGGCGGATGAGTATACGGCGGCGTAAGCGGTCCTCATGAAATTGTCCCTATTTGCGACGGTGAAATCGGGTTCATTCGCATCCTTGCCAAACTCGCCTAAGAGCATAGGTTTCTGAAGAGTCTTCTGTGCGTCATCGAGGTGGACTTCAATCCAATCTTTCAGAAATTTCACTTGTTGATTATAACTTCTTGAAGCATTGCTCAACCTCCACAACAGAAGGGCAAAGTTATAATGAGTTTTCTGGTCTTTAAATAGTGATTTTAATTAAGAACCTATGTAGCACCGATACCGGTACGCGGAAACGCGGAAACGCGGAAACGGGTACGGGGATACGTCAAAACCAAAAAAAGTAGGATACAGATACGAGGCCATATTTATAAATATTAAAAGTTATAGGGGTCTATTTATAAATATTAAAAATAGATTTTTTTGAATATATATATATATACATATAATATCCTATGATGTTTACCCATTCATTGCATTGAAGCATTTTCCTTTTTCAAGATACTTAGTAATAAATTCATAATATTTCTCATATATGCTAGTGTATCTCGTAATATAAATGTAGTCAATAAGTCATTAATTTAAAATGAGAAATGAGTCAAACAACTGCAATCTTGAAATTAAAAGTGCAAGTACCCACTTCGGAGTATGAGTTAATGACTTAATTCGGATATAGCCATATAGGCCCATTATTTGATTACCAAGTAAAATGTAGTTTTAGATTTTCATTTTTTTTAGAATTTTATTAAGTAAATTTTGGTATTTTTTTTTAAAAAAAAGTTGATCGGTCCGAGAACTTTTAAAAATTACGAGTATCGGAAACTTTCAAAAAATTACAAAAAAAAAATGGAAACTTTTAAAAATTGCAGATACGGCCCGAGAACGTACGGTACGGGTATCCTAGAGTATCGGATACGGGAACGTATCCGATACGCCGATACGCTACCCTAGGGAAGTATCCGTGCTTCATAGTTAAGAACTATACGAAAGTAAGTTCTCCCACATCTTTTTGACTTTTTCTTTCTTAAAAATACATGAATTGTGTGGTCTTTAAATAGTGATTTCAGGGAGTATATGGAAGTAAGTTCTCCCACATCTTAGCCTTTTGACTTTCTTTCTTAAAAATACATGAGTTTACCGGCCGAAGGCTTTTAAGTCCATTTGAAGATGCAAACCATGCATATAATAGCTCCGTCACATTGGACATTGTCTGCTTTGATTCAGGTCTGGATTTAAAAACTAAAAAGAATGAAAATTTCTGAAATAGGAGTGAAAACTTCTGAGAATTACAAAAATAGAATTGTTATATTTCACATTTTTCTGAGTATATGTAATTACTGTCAAACTCGAAAAATTCAATCATGTAAAAAATCGTGTGATTAAGATTGTTTGATATATCCCTCAAGTTTTGGAAAATACTACTCCGTGTATCATGTTTTGACTATATGAGCGTTCTCCCTCACATGAAAAGACGTGGTTCATTTGCTATACACTATATTGATCACATCTTTTATATATATATATATATATATGTTTTGGTTCAAATAAAAACATGATCTTATGAGAGAAATGAGAATGAATCTGGACCGTTAGATTTGCTTTAAGTGAAATTTAATGTGCATTAGATGAAACTATAATGTGCATTAGATCAAATTGAAATGTGAAACACAAAGAGTACGATAAAATGACATTATGTGAATCTGAATTGTGCGTTATGTTGAATTCAAATGTGCACTAGGTGAAACTGAAATGTGCAGAATAAAAGTTACGATGTGATGTTATTTTTGTACCTTTTATTCTACACATTAGAGTTTCACCTAATGCACACTAGAGTTTAAAATTTTACTCTGCACATTTCAATATCATCTATTGCATATTTTAGTTTCACCAAATGCACAGTTCAGTTCTACATAATACAATCCAACGGTTCAGTTCTATATATATATATATATATATATATATATATATATATATATATATATATATATATATATATATATATTAATATATGATGTCATTTTTTAAATTTTGAATCTATGTATACATGTAGAAACAATTTTTTTTGAGTGGTGTCAATTGACATGATACTCTTATAGATAGTACATGATACGGCGTCATTGCTCAATAAACTAACTTTTTGCGTAAAAGATAAATATCATACTCCGGTACTAGTATAAACCACTCCATACGATAAAAAAAAGTATAAACCACTCCATACATACTATTTGGCGTAAAAAACAAGACAGAATGCTAAATTGTTACTTCATATTTTTCACGTATGATTATAGAGATTTCAGAGTTCAAAGTTCGAGAAGATTTCACGCATGGGTGGAGTCAGGGAGGGTCAGGGTGATCAACCATCCCCTTTGAAAGTTCGGGAAGATAGAATATTGAAATACTTTCAATTTGATATATTATGTCTCTCGAAACTCAATATGACTAAAAAGTTATGATTCCTGAAAATAATCACTGTTTAAACTTGAAATTACTAAAATTTGATGCAAAATATTGATTTTATTCTAATATATTTAAAAATATCGTCTAATTCACTCATTACTTATATGAAGTATATAGTGTGTATGACATGTATATCAAGCTTATAATTTGTTAGTCTCATTTAAACATCATTTATCTAAACTATATGCTGAATATTTAACTGAGGTATTGTTTAAAAACGATCTACCATTTTTATTTTGTACGTAGTATTTAGTTTAGATTTAGGCTCCTTGTATCGTTATTCTGGCTCCGCCATTGTAAAGGTATTGAAATGAGTAGAAAATGTAAAAGGCACATATAAAGTATGGTAAATAATGAAATAGTTTTTTTAAAAAGGGGGGAAAATGCACTTTTGGTCCCTGAAATAATTACTATATTGAAATATCAGACCCGTGTTCTCAAATTTGTAAATGTCACCCCTTAATTGTTCAAAATGCAGTAAATGTGGTCCTTTCAGGATTGAAATGTACAATGTGAGCGAGGAGTACATTTCACCTCTCAAATGACCACATTTACACCAATTTGGACAATTGAGAGGTGGCAGTTACAATCTCATAAATACGAGTCTGACATTTCAATATGGTGACTATTTGAAGGATTAAAAGTGTTGTTTTTCCTTAAAAAATGCATGGCGCGATTAAGTAAATACGGGAAAAATAAGTAGAATTATAAACTAAAAAAATTTGTGATATATAAAACTCAAAGTGAACTTGCATACCATATGTATGGATAAGCGTGAATTGTGCAAAAATCGATACTGGAGATTTGATTATTTCTAATGAAGTCAGTCCCCACTTTAGAAAAAGCCCCCTTATTTTTGGCGACATTCCATGGACCATAAAAGCCTTCCAGCCCGACTTCTAGTAGATGCTTAGTATCAATACTTTTCAAGTAGGGAGCCATTTCTTTTATCCATTCCTGAAAAGAAAAAAAACGGTGAGAAAGTTAGACATGACCAAGGATCAAAACATGCAGCGATGATCATGTGGAGTTCACAGTTCGGTATGATTGGATGGATCTCTGGTGCGCATGAGTATAATTGTATAAGGTCTACCACTTTTGGATTGATTGAGTCACCATGATTTACATAATCTCAAATGCTTTATTGGGACGGGGTGTAGAAGGTCTTGGGGTTGGGGTTTCAACCGTTGGACAATGTGTTCAGACAATGTCCGATCCACCAAATGCTCCAAAGATAGAGTACAAAATTAAGAACACCATACTTGCAAGATGTTTCCATACAGATTTGAGGTACATCTGGGTTCATTCATCAGCTCCCAAGCCATTATAGTAGGATCATCCTTGTATAAAACTCCATTAATGGTGTTGTTCCTCGTAAGCACAGCCTATACAAACAGGAAAACAAATGGGAGATATCCGTAAATATGGGCAAATAAAGATAGATGAATTATCATTTCTTAAATAAATGGGAGGTTTTCGTAATAAGAAAATCATAATTTTATTTATACAAAAATATTAAAAATATTTATAAACTATTAAAAAAAGGGAAAAAATAAAATAAAATAATAATTATATAACTAAAAAACTAAAAAATAGCAATAAACAATATTTAAAAATAAGCCAACAATTCACTAATTTTGATCAAATTGCAGTGACAATTTGGTAAATAAAATGAAGTTTTTGTCACCACAAAAAAATGCAACATAAGCATGAAATAGTGTAACCTATTGAGCGAAAAGTGCAACTATTTGCATTTTACATGAGAACATCACTTTTTATTATTTGAACGCTCCTTTAAATGCTTTAAATGTAACTCTACTAGAACAATTAATAAACCGTGCATATATAGTTACTACCTCTGTAGCATTTATATCTTCCCGTTTAAAAGTATGTGAGATTAAAAATAGGGAACGGAATATAAATTATTAAGGGTATGATGGTAAGATAATAAAATAGTGTGTTGGAATGAAGGATAAATCCTAAAAATTAGTTGAAATAGTGTATTATTTTTAAAATTATTAAAGATATGATGTGAAGATTTAGAAATGAAAAGACATGAGTGTCACTAGCGAAAAAGAAAAGTGGAAAAATACGAAGTTAAGATAAATATATTGTGGTGCGACATGCTGACCTTGACGTGATTCTTGTACAACTGTTTGACTCTCTTATCAGTGAAGAACAGATCAGAGGCATTCGGAGTAGACAAGTTCTTGTCAGGATAAACCCATTTCACGTATTATATTGTTTCTTCCCCCCGTAATCATCAAAGTTGTTAACCAAACTTAAGATCAACTTAATCCCATAGTTCCTAGCCTCGGATATCACATAATCCAGCCCCTTCATATCATCCACCCCAAACCAAATTAATTTGAGCACAATTTCAGTTTCCAGAATACTACATAATTTAATGGAGTATTATTATTGTACGTAAAATTTGTACATAAATTGTAAACTGCCTGTGTACACAGAAATTTTGGCATAAAATTTTGTACTTTTTCAAACGAAATGTCTGTGTACACAGATAATTAAGAGGGTTGCATACAATTTGTTTACTAATTTTGTGTAATTAGTAACATGAGTGGACTTGCTTTAAATAAGCGTTTATAGTGAATTAAAGTAATTCATTTCCTATTGGACTGCCCGCCCAAAATCAATTATTCCTCATTCTTACAAAAAAATTAAGCTTAGTTTTTATTTACTCCGCAATATAGTGTTGCCTTTTAGTAACCTCATAAAATGAGAAAAATGAGGGTATAACCGAAGAAATTATTTATACAATTATATATATATATATATATATATATATATATATATATATATATATATATATATATATATATATATATATATATAGGAAATCTTTCCGGTAAGGTATACC